TGTGCCCCAGAAGTGTCTCCCGATCAAAGGATCGATCCACAGCTAAGGAAAAATTATTTGACATCAGCCGGGGCCTTGAGTGTAGCAGCCCAGTGCCTAACACATTGAGCTACTCCACTCAGGAAAACTTAATTAACTCTCTCGAATTAGAAGGATTACAGGTCTTAAAAGTAACAAACAAAGTAAAGATATAACTTTATAAGATATGAAAAGTGTACAAAAGATTAAAAGTAAATTGACATTATCAAAAGAGGAAAATATTCGGAAATACATTGACTGTTATCGATAGTGTGCCAAATAATTTGATTTTTGAAAAAAATATAAAAAGGTTTCACACTTTGTATTTTTACTGAATGAGATTAGGCGCCTTGCCCGTAAAGATTGGCTCTAAACATAATCGCCTTGATTTTTGTGAATCAATTGGATGAATCGGAGTGTGGCATATTTATGAATCAAGAATTTAATTCATTCTTGGCAGCCATAGTCAAAACGGTTTCCAAGTCATGTGAGGATGCGATGGTTTTATTAGTGCCAAAGTTATAATATTTGTTAGAGCAAAACTAACTGTGTACTCATGCATTAAAATTGTTATTATAATATTGGCAAACTTCAGCATTTGTAGCATTTCGAAAATAGCAATACAATTATTTCGAAAGCTAAATTACCGCAGTTAACGAATCGTACAACAGCGAAAACTTTAAGAAAAAATTCATGTATAAAAAAAATATAAATATAAACATTAGTTATCTCAATAATTAAATTCACTATCTATTTTATATTCACACTATATCTTGACTACGTTATCTTCTTCTATTTAGAGGGTGAGATAAACACTGGAGAAAGAATTCGTACAATTGGAGATATAGTTATTTCATGAATGATGATATTGTTAAAATAATTTCTATAAGAAAAGGATTCTTGCTGAAATATTTTACTGTCCCTTAGGATAAGATAAGAATTCTTTTGTGCTGAAATATTTGATAACTAGTTCTAAACTATCAGAGATTGTCTTGTCCTTTAAGTCATCATATTAAATTATCTATTGGCATAGTTGATAAGTCACAACGACTGAAATGAGAATCTAGCAATAGCATCAGTTGAGAGATCTAGCCTAGACTGTAACTCAGCCACAATACCTCGACCACGGTAAGTCAAATCAGTTTAATATACGTCTCCACTAACTCTCCCAAGTTATAAGCTATAATTATTTTTATTAGAATAAATAATAATTTCAAATATAAATACTGAAAAGTTACATAGCATTAGCAAAACCTGACCATATGACAAGTTTTTTTTTATAATTACAATACTCTTTTTTAACTACTTGTCCTACTGTTTGCTACATTTTAAAGGACCAAACAATTTATTTTTTTATTTTATTTTAAGATAATTTAAATCCATAAAAAAAGAAACATTTTTCACATTTTATCCCGTCTACAAAAAAAAAAAAAAAAATAATAATAATTTGCAAATCATCTAGGTGATAAAAAAAAAAGTCAAGTGCGAATGAAAGGGGTTATATGACATATAAATAAATAAATATATAATCCTAATCGACAATGCAAAATTTTTATGAGGAAACTCTTTTTCTAATTTATTTTTATGTTGGTTTTGTCAGTTTGATTTTATACTTGTGAGAACTTCTTTTTCCTTTTAAAAAAAAAAAAAAACGGGTAGTAAAAATGAACTGGATAAAATTTACTTTAAATGAGGGTAGAAATTGTCTTTGTTAAAACCATTTAAAGGGGATTTTTAAGCGGCTAAACTATGCAAAGTTCTGTTTTTTATAAAATCATGGATTATTCTTAAATTTTTAAAATTAATTCTTAATTTTTATCAGCATCCATCTGCACTACAAATATCCCAATTTTAGACAAACTTCCTTGTTTAATAACTTTTAATTCCATATTAATTAAATTTTGGTATTTTACAAAATAAGTTGAGATTCATCGCTAGTTATGTAAAAAAAATTATGATTTGATGTCTGTCACTCCCAGGTTATTCATGTTTGCAGTAAAAATGGCTAAAATAAATTATTGTAGACGTTTATTTATTTTTTTCGTGACCATAAATGCATTATAACGAAAAATCTTAAACAAAATAAACATTATATTTAAAATAAAATGTTAAAAATGCTGTTAATTCAAATATTTATATTTATAGTCATTATTGTATTAATGTAAGTGACCAACAAATGATGATTTTATGATGATTATGCATAACTTAACATAGTTTATAAAAATCCACTCCAAATGGTTTTAACAAGCACAAATTCTACTTGCATTTTGATGCAATTTTGTCAAGTTTACTATTAACTAATTGTTAATGATGTAAATTAAATATTTTTCAGTTTCCACTTCCTATTCAACAAAAATATGAGGCTTAAAAAAAAAAAAAAAAATACACGAAACTTAAATTTCTTACTATTCTGGGGAAAATCGAACCATAGGTTGTACACAATTTTCTATAGCTCTTAATGTATGCTATCATAAATTAAAATATTTATCTGTACTTACGGGACACCCTGTTTAAACAATAAATTATAATGAAATAATGAATTTGTAAAAAAAATTAAAAAGAAATGGTTATTTAATTATATAGGTGATTGCATATGTGTGTGTCAAGATTCGGTTTGCATACCATAAATTCAATATAAAAATAAAAATAATAATGACCTAGAATTTTACAAAATAAGTAATAAAATTTTAACTTATTTTAAGTGTCATTGCTAATTAAAATATTGTTTCATTAGAAAATATTGAATCTATATATGATTATTTATGAACAAACCTTTTTAATGTCTCAGTCTTTTATTATACATTAAAAACATTTTAAAATATTTAAAAATTATTATTTTTTAATGATTCGGCTCCACGAGGCATTTTCGAAAATTCTTTAAAAAACAAAACATTAGTCATATTAAAAACATTGTTTCAAAAATTTCTTTAAAATATGTGTATATAGAATAATACTCAATGGTATTACTTATATTTATTAAGTATAAAATATTTCAAAATTTCTCTTATTTTCTTCATTTTATCAAAAATTAATACTGTAATTTAACAACTCCTTTTTATTGTAATAATTTAAAAAAAATACTTCCATTTTATATTACAAATATTTTCTGGGAGAAAATTTATTTCATTACATGCCAAAAACTAAAGCTAAAAATAAGAAATAAAAAACTTTATACCTTAAATTATTTTCTTTTTTAATTACGGAAAAATCTCACAAAAATATGAATAATCTAAAGAAGCTTGCTTATCTTAAAATATTTAATTCAATTTAAAAATTATATTCGGTTTATGTGTGTAAATTTCTCAACTGCTTTTTATTGTAATAATTTAAAACAAACTTGAAAAAAAATCTTTAATTTTACAAATATTTTCTGGGGAAAATTTATTTTATTACTGAAAAACATGCCAAAAACCAAACATAAAAAAAGAAATAAAAAACTTAATACCTTAAATCCTTTTCTTTTTTAATTACGGAAAAATCTCACAAACATATGAATAACCTAAAGACTTTTTTATCTTAAAATATTTAATTCAATTTAAAAATTATATTCGTTTTATATGTCTAAATTTCTCAACTCCTTTTTATTGTAAAAAACTTTATACCTTAAATACTTTTCTTTTTTAATTATGGAAAAATCTCACAAAAATATGAATAATCTAAAGAAGCTTGTTTATCACAAAATATTTAATTTAATTTAAAAATTATATTCGTTTTCCATGTCTAAATTTCTCAACTCCTTTTTATTGTAATAATTTAAAACAAACGTTAAAAGAGACTTCCATTTTACAAATATTTCTGGGGAAAATTTATTTCATTACTGAAAAACATGCCAAAAACCAAACCTAAAAATAAGAAATAAAAATTTTATACCTTAAATTCTTTTCTTTTTAATTATGGAAAAATCTCACAAAATATGAATAACCTAAAGAAGCTTGTTATCATAAAATATTTAATTTAATTTAAAAATTATGTTCGTTTTACATGTCTAAATTTCTCAACTCCTTTTTATTGTAATAATTTAAAACAAACGTTAAAAGAGACTTCCATTTTACAAATATTTTCTGGAGAAAATTTATTTCATTACTGAAAAACATGCCAAAAACCAAACCTAAAAATAAGAAATAAAAAACTTAATACCTTAAATCCTTTTCTTTTTTAATTACGGAAAAATCTCAGAAAATTATGAATAACCTAAAGAAGCTTGTTTATCATAAAATATTTAATTTAATTTAAAAATTATATTCGTTTTATGTGTCTAAATTTCTCAACTCCTTTTTATTGCAATAATTTAAAACAAACTTTTAAAAAAAACTTTCATTTTACAAATATTTTCTGGGGGAAAATTGATTTCATTACTGAAAACCATGCCAAAAATCAAACCTAAAAATAAGAAATAAAAATTTTATACCTTAAATTCTTTCCTTTTTTAATTATGGAAAAATCTCACAAAAATATGAATAACCTAAAGAAGCTTGTTTATCATAAAATATTTAATTTAATTTAAAAATTATGTTCGTTTTACATGTCTAAATTTCTCAACTCCTTTTTATTGTAATAATTTAAAACAAACTTTAAAAAAGACTTTCATTTTACATATGTTTTCTGGGGGAAAATTTGTTTCATTACTGAAAAACATGCCAAAAACGAAACTAAAAATAAGAAATAAAAAACTTTATATCTTAAATTCTTTTCTTTTTTAATTATGGAAAAATCTCAGAAAATTATGAATAACCTAAAGAAGCTTGTTTATCATAAAATATTTAATTTAATTTAAAAATTATATTCGTTTTATATGTCTAAATTTGAAGGTATCAAAATATTATTATTATTTATTATTTTTTTTTTGCACCGTGTCAGTTTCCTCAGACGCAAAAATCGTTAAATACTGAGATTCTTGCGCAATTTAATTGTTTTCATGGACAAATGTGTTGTGGGACTATTTTAGTCGCAGAAAGAACCGAAGGAAGCCAGTCTGCGTTGAGCCGTTGCCCAGATCGGAACAGACTTTTCTTGGATCTCCGTTAATACTCAAAATAGCTCATCCAAATGTCTCAAGAGAAACCCAGATCTATGGAGGACCGCAGGAGGAGCAGCATAAGCTATCCAGTTGAGAAAAAGGTAATTTCAACATTTTTTTTTTGAAAGTATATATATATATATATATATATAAACTGGCAACGTATTTGTGTTTTTTTTGTTTTCTTTTTAAAGACATTTTGTGTGCCAAATTTTATTTTTGGCCCATATCTAATATTATTCATCACAGTGTTGTTATTGTCTGGATACGTCAGTGTAAATACATACTTTAATTAACTAAAATGCTCCGATATAGGGATAATAATTTTTTTTCACAATTATATTGCTGAATATAATTGTTGAATGAAAAACGGAATTTTCTTTTTCTTTAATTTCATTCCTTGAAAATACTTATATGAAACCAGATGAAATTTGGCCCTTTTTTTTACTGTCAAAAACATGTCATGTTATTGTACACTAGTGATATCAACATCGTATCTTAATAATGAATGTACACAGTAAATATAAGAATAATGTATTCTGTTAACTTATTTATTACTAAGACTTCATAAATTAAATCAATTAAAATTTTAATGCATGAAGAGAATTTACTTAAAAATTGAATAAATGTATACTAATTCATCCGTGGTTGCCTATCAGGCAAATAATTTAAAAAAAAGAATCGCCTACAATCATAAAATAATTCTTAAATAAAATTTATATTTGATGTAGTAAGTTGAAGTTGTAATCTGACTGGCATATATAATAATATACTTGATGTATAGGAATGTAGCTATTAATATGGGTTATTAAGTGATTGATAAATTAACTACCAGTTAGTAACTGTAACATCTGTTCATTAGGAACAAACACTGAATAACAGTCACTATTATTTTGATGCTATAACCTTTTCATTCGAATGTTTCATTTTCGAATAAACTGAAATAGAAGACGTATTATTTTTATTAATTTCTCGATCCTGAAAATAGACGCCTTACAATGTGTAAAAAAATTTGAATCCTAAATTGTAAATATAGTACTTTGCAAAGGTGAGTAGGCTTTTTCAATAAACACTTTTTAAAAATAGACCCGAGCAAATGTATTCGTTTTTATTTGTAAGGCTAATCAAACTCGTGTGAAATTTTGTAAAAAAAATCATTCAACATTGCTTGATTCGGTTTGATTTTTCAAATTTACATGTCCACAAAGATTTTTTTGATAATTTGATATTTTTGTCTTCTGGCGACCACGTAACCAGATTGTGGTAAATTTAATTTGAAAAATTCTATCACCGAAATAAATTTTTCTTGTATCACGTTTCCCCGTTCAGGTGTGGGGGCGCTCACGTGCCAACAAACACGTCCACAGGCAATCACACAGATATACAAAATTTATTTATAAAAAATTAATATGATTGCAATAAATGATTTTATTTTACATCCGCTATGTTTTAAATACATACTATTCGTGAGTCTAAATACATACTTTAATTAACTAAAATGCTCTGATATATGGATAACAATTCTTTTTTTTCTCATTTCTATTGCTGAATATAATTGTTTAGAGTTAAACAAAATTTTTATTTTTCCTAATGTATTTCTGAAAAATACTTGGATAAACCCATAGAAAATTACGTTTGCTTCTTTTTGCACTCTCTCCATCAAAAAAAAAAAAAAAGATGTCACGTTACTGTGTTAAAAAAAATGTACTAATTAATATCAAAATTGTTTCTTTTCTTTCTTAAATTTATGTTTAGTTTTTCGAGTATAGTTTAGTTTGTTTAAGCTTAAGAGATGCGTATTAATAAAATGTTTGTCTTAATAATAATACTATAATAATATTTTGTTTTATGTACCTGGAATTTTAGTTTATACCCTAAGTTCATCAGAAAGCCGGATAGCAGACGTTAAAAATAAATTATTATTAATTTTTAATTTAAAATTAAAATATTCTATATTAATGTATTTTATTTTTAATGTTTATATTGGACGATTGGTTGCATGGAATGGTTGTAAAAAAAACTAACACGGTTAAATTTATATAGATGTATGCTATCATATATACATATATATATATACACATAGTAGCAAAAACTCAAATAGAGGCATAAATTAAATCTCAGGATAAATTTGGGAAACTTTCAAATACGGGGCCTTGAGTTTTAAAAATGCAGGTAAACAAACTAACACATCAACACCACCAATCCTGACATCGTCAGGCCAGAAACAACTGAGTGTGTATTTGGGTGTCATGGAGTGATGTAGTGTCTTTAATAAATGTGTCTTTTTTGGTCTGTTGACGAGAGATTTTTTGTATTTAGTCTAGATTTATGTGATTTAGGATGATTGTGTTCTGATGATGGCTGAATTGGCGAAGCGAAGACAAGTTAGCTTGTTGAAGGCTTTACATTAGGAATTTGGTATACAATTATGTTTATATAAATTAATCAAATTTTATGGTCATTTTTAGTTATCAGTTTATCTTCCAATTTGATCACACACACATATAAATGCTAAGTATCGTATATATTATTTCTGAATATCCCTTTACCGGTTCTCAGGAGAGATGGATTTTGACGAAGGAGGTATCAATACAAAAGGAAATATCACGTAGAATGTGCGAATCGTAATTTTGATTTCTAATTTTATTCTAGGACTTAATTAAAAGTGAATGTAAAAATGGAAGGTTTCAAACCATGTGATGGTGCCATCTCAATGAATCGAGACGTTGCGAATGAATTCATAATTAACGCGACAAGAACATAATTTTTGGTCCATTATGCTTATGTGAGTATTTGAAAGTTCACTAAATCCCCTAAAAACGTAAAATAAAGTTCCGAAATCGGAAGATTTGTTGCAGAGTTATAGCGTTCTGAACATTTAGTATTTGTTGTAGTGATTCTGTTGCATGTGGGAATCTAAGATTTTGAGAATTGGCCTTTTTTTCTGGAGCGAACTATATAATGTATCAATTAAATTGTCAATTCTATTTTATTTGTATAATAAATGTGTCTTCCATTAAACACTTTTTGGAACGGTTGTCAATGTGCTTCAATTGCATTAAGTTTTACTTTTAGATCTTTATTATTGAAGTTTATCATTTTGAAAACTACATTTTCGATTTTTTAAAATTATGATAAAGTAGCATACATCCTGATTGGCCTAACTATTTCTTCCTGGGAATTTGAGCCATTTGTCTTTTGCCGTCATCAGATGTTCAAAGCAATGTTTAGAACTTTTGGTAAATTTATGATAATCCAGTAAAGGAAAATCAATATTTAAATTATAAATTTAAGGAAACAACATGGTTAAACCATGACCGAGTGTAAATCATGTTTATAATCTGATAACTTACTAAATATATGTATCAGACCTTTTCGTATCAAACATTATTGAATGGAAGTTGTGCTGAGCCGTTAATATATTAAAATCACATACAAATATTAGGTTGTGGGGAGTATTCGCGCGGGTTAGCTAATACATATATAATATATAAACAAGACTCGATTGTGGAGTTTCCCTGAGAGAATGAATTTTGTAAACATTGTATAAAAGTATGCTTGTATTTAAATTGTTATTTTGATTAGTTTATTTTTTTATAAATTTAATTTTGCTGATTAATTTACTATATTTATTGTACATTGAGTGTGAATGTGCTCTCTGAACACTATTATAAATGTCATAATTGTGGGTTGATGGTTGATTGTAGTGAATAATGAAGAGAAGGATAGTTGGGGAGATCAGTCAAAAATAAAACTAGCAAAAATAAATAATAATATTTATTTTAACATTTGTATTTAACATTTAATATTTATTTTATAATATGTATTTGTTATAAATATCCTCAATCGAAATAGATTATAGTATTTCTTAAAAAAGAAGTTCTAAAGTTTCAATCACTAGCAATAGACCCTTCTTTACTATACTTACATATGTTACTATATTTACAACAATGGTTTGAAATTTAAGTACCCTAAATTTATACCTCGATGTTTCGCAAATTGAAATAAATCGGATTTTTAAGACCAAATCGAAATGTTATTCTTAAGTGAATTAATCTATTATATTTTATTTTTATTTTGAATTGTGTTTAAACAAATTTTGTAAAATAATAATATGTAAAACTACTTAAAACAACTGGGTAATAATAATATTAACTTAGCAATTGTTTCGGTTTGAACCATGTGGCTGATTGAATATATTTTTTTTTTTTCAATTTTTATATTGTTTTAATGACAGTTATTTTTCTTTGTTATTCTTCATTATTTTCTTACCTCCGTTATTTTCTTATCTTATCGTTATTATCTTATCTTTGTTATTTTATTTTATTATCTTCTTTTCTTTGTTATTTTTATCGGAAATCTCAAATTATAAACAATAAAGTTTCGTTTTTTTGTTGTTTATTTTTTACATAAAAAAGCAACTTTTGAGTGATATTAAATAGTTTCCCAACAAGAAGAGGAAGACCTAATGAACAGACTTGCGAAGAAACTTCTCATAAGTATAACTGCAATAAGTTCTTAGTATAAGGTCCAGACCTCCCTACCGTGCACCCCCCTGCCACTCCCCCCCTCCCACATCCCTATAAATTACATATCTTCGTGTTCCTTCTAACTATTTAGTAAAAAAAAAAGCCAGTGTTCTCATAAAAATAAGTGAAAGCACTGCTCCAAAATGGCGTCCAAATATGGCGGACAGACGACTTTGGCTTCATTAAATTGGCCTTTTATTAAAGCTGGATAGTCAGAGATTAATAAAACGTGAAACAATATTAAAAAATAATTGGCTTAGGCAATAAAAAAAAAAAGTAAAGTCAAGTTTTTCAACAAAAAAAGTTTCAACTTGCAGCATTTGACCTCCTTTTAGCAGTTCCTTGAAGTATTCTGTTCATTTGTCTACTATATATTTGTTTAGCCATATAATGGATACTGATCTTTATTTTATTTTTCGAGATTTTGGTAATTCCTTCTTCGTTCGCTTAATATATTTTTCCTGTTTTTGGGTTCAATTTCTCGTTTTCTCTCATTTTGTGACCAAATACTAACAATTATTTCCGGTCACCAAGAAGAACACTTAGCTTTGCATTTTCCATCTTTCTTTGTG